ATAAATAGAGGAAATGAGCTTGAGTGTAATGTTCATAGGTAGGAATAACTTTTCTTTGGAAATTCTTTGGCATGTTCATGTATCTCAGAGAGGGCATACAAAGTACTGTAGGGGTGGCTTCAGTAGACAGGTGAAACCACTGTTTGAACTACTGTTTCTTGATTTTTCACTTTTTTCCTCCCCAGATTAATCAGAACTGTGTCTGCTCTATGCAATGAGTGTTAAAGAGTGGGGAATAAGTTTTTAGAATCTTTCTATGTAGTTAAAATACTGTCAAGGAGAAAATCAAAACCTCATCAGTGTAATGCTGATTTTTCAGGTTGGTTTTTTTTTTTTCTTTCCCTTTAATTTATTTTTTTTTCATGTTTCCTAGCTTTTCAAAGATGACATTAGATATCTGCTGACAATGGATAAGCTGTGGAGGAAAAGAAAGCCTCCAGTGCCACTGGACTGGGCTGAGGTACAAAAGCAAGGTAACTGTCCCTCCCTCCTGTATATTTGTAAGTTGTGCCTGCTGTTTATTAATGCATCTCTGTGATATTTACATTTTTTTACTGCTGCAGTTGAATTCTGATAATGAACACATTAATTCATTACATTTCCTGAATATTTCAAGTTTTTCTCTATATTAACACCACTTTTTCTAAGACTGTTTTGCAATTGTTGTTTTAGATGCTCAGTATTGGCTGTAGAAAATACAGGTTTAACAAAATTCGGTCAGTTTATTCTAGGACACTTTACCATAAGCACTTCTCATAAGATTTATCTCTGAAAGTTGTTTGGTTGAAAATTTATATTTGCTGTAATTTGTGCATTAGGTGACTGATATCTTAGCTATACTTGCAGTTTAAAATGCAGATTTGTTGTAAAATGTTTGGGCTACTGTAGATAAAGGATATTCTTCAATTTAGAAAACACCAAATTTTGGTGAAATTTGAGTTATTTGAGAGAACTTCTGTGGAACTTCTAAATATTCCTGATTATTTTTTTTTTCCCAAAGAAGAGAACATATCTGACCAGCAGAATGAGAGCTCTGCAGTGTTGAAGGATCAGCAGGTTCTCAATGTCAGGAGCTATGCAGACCTGTTTTCAAAGAGTGTTAAAACCCTGAGTCTTCACCTGGCTGAGAAGGCTGATGGAGAAGCACTTATATGGGATAAGGTTAGTTTGCCATGTATAAAACCTACATGTGTAATACAAATATTAGTTGGGCTCATTCAGTTTCCTTCCAAAATGATACTGCTTAGAACTGGCACCTTATGGAAACCCTTTCCATATGTAAACAAATATATTCTTTAAACACTGTATTGTGTAACTCACTGAGTAAGGATTAACTGCTGTGGTGTGAAATAACTTAATTCATCAAATTCTCCAGCTCATAAAAGCACAGAGTATTTTGTCATATTTTGATTTTTGAAAACATTTTAATAACTCAACTTAATTTTTCCCTTCTTATCTGTCTGCAAAACCTGCTCTTAGCCAGGTGTCAGTAGCTGGAGTTTTACTGAGGTTATGAGCAATCAGCTGTTGAAGAAAACAAGAATTTTCTCGTTTATCACCACACACAGTATCACTTCCAGTCAGTGGTCATTTGGCATAAGAAAAAAGTAGTCTGTAAATATAGGGGGGGCAGGGCAAAATAGTAAAATACTGCTGTGACAAATAGTACAAATGCTTCTTTCTGAAACACCCAGTGTTTGAAACTGATTCAGAATTAAAAGTCAATGTTGAAAATGTTTGAAACATTGGAAGACTTAGGATTTAAATATATAGGCGTTTTATTAGTACAAATATATTAATTAAACTAAATTAAATATACTAATTATACTAAAATACATGTTTAGAAACTGTAGTTAGTATTAAAAGTGCTACTGCTGTGAGTACACCATCTAAAAGAGGAAGTATATTGAATTTGAAATAGAATTTTGTATAGAATTTTTGTTTTTTAAATTCTGTTTTTTAAGATTTTAGGAACCACGTGTTGCAAACTCTTTCCAATGAGTAATCAGATTTTTAAGTGCTTTTTGTATTAACTTCTTTTTAGGATGACCCTTCTGCCATGGATTTTGTCACTGCTGCTGCAAACCTCAGGATGCATGTTTTTGGAATGAATATGAAGAGCAGATTTGATATCAAGTGTAAGGATAAAATGTAGCATTGTTTTATTTATATTATGATTCCTTGTTTCTTTTGCTGTTAAAAATCTGCATACTCTTGTTTGTTTTGCAGCAATGGCAGGAAATATTATCCCAGCTATAGCCACTACCAATGCAGTGATAGCTGGGCTGATAGTGCTGGAGGGTTTGAAGATTTTATCGGGAAAAATAGATCAGTGTAGAACGGTAAGTGGGAATAAAATCCATTTGTTTTCTTGCTATTTATTATTTGTTTAAAAGTTAACATTTTTTTTTCTAGATTTAACATTTTTTCACTAGTGTAGTTTTACTGTCACAGGTCTTAAGGATCAGTAAATTCCAATGACTTAATACAAATTTGTGCTGGATAGGAGAGAGAACCAGGCTGCCATCACTTGCAGTGTGGCTGTTCGGTATTAGAGATGTTGGCAGGAGCTGCTCTGTCAGCACAGGGTGAGCTGGTTGTGTGAGACTCCTGCTCAGCAGGCACAGCAGAGGGGATTAGGGAACAGGACAGTCTGGGAGACCAGGACAAGAAATCTGCAGGAAAACAGGCTTAAGACATGCTGGTAATTAAAGAATAATCTGATTTCTTCTTGTCT